GTACTGCCCTGTCCCCACCGGCCCCACCCCCGCAAGGTACGTGTGCTTCCGCAACAGCGAGCTGATCTGCGGGCGGATAGGCAAGGGCATCCTGGGGGGCAGCAAGGGCGGCCTCTTCTACACGCTCGCCTCAGACTGCAGCCCAGAGACCGCCGCCGCGGTGAGAAAACGCTCTTGCGCGCATGCACGCACGCGCCCACACGTACGCACGAACACACACTGTAGCACACACGACACGTGCACACATGCGTAATGTGTGGAGAGGCCCCGCGTGCTGCGTTTGGTGATTCCCGGCCCGCGGCCCCCGGGCATTCAGAAACCTCCGTTAACGCGTATGTGCAGCCATCCGCTCGCCCGCCTGCAGTCCATCACCCCGGCCAATGTCAGCAAGGGCCGACGCACAAAAGAATTGGCGGCCCCGCCGACCCTCAAACACCCGTCACAAGCCTCGCAAAACGCGAACCAACACGCCGCCGCAGGTGATGGCGCGGCTGGCCAAAATGTCGGCGCGCACGCTGGGCGACGCGGGCTTCTCCATTGGCATCGAGGACGTGACGCCGGCGCCGCTGCTGCAGCTCAAGAAGCGCGCGATCATGGACGAGGGCGCAGCGCGCTGCCAGCAGCTGCTGGCGCTGTACAACCAGGTGGGTGCGGCGTGGTGAACCGACTGTGTGTGTGTGTGTATGTGTGTGCGTGTGTGTGTGTGTGCGGGTGCAGGTGCAGGTGCAGGTGTGTCGCATGGGTGCACGCATGCGTGCTTGCGTGTCCGAGTATCACCTTGACTTGGGGTCGAGGTGTCATGCATTCGTGGGCGCAAAGGGAGTGTCTTGTGGAGGGGGTGCTGGTGTTGGTTTGAGTTGAGGGCAGATACGGGGGCCAGGCGAAGTTGGTAGGGCGCCATGATGCGCCCTGCATCAGGGAGTCCTGAAACCACCCCTGCCCTTACATCCCGCGCTCCATGTCAGCCCGCCATCTCGCTTGCGCCACTCCTCCACACACGCCGGCAGCACGCCACCCTCAAGCACCTCCTGCGCTGCGCCGCACCACCCACCCACTCTCCCAACCCAACCCTGAATCCTGCCAACCCGACCGCCTCCCACACGGCCCCCCTGATTCCTTCACCTCAGACACATGCTCCTGCACACGCCTATGATTCCGCCATCACTATCCTCTCTCTCATACACCCCCGGTCATCACCTCTTCATATGCACACACATGCACACACACACATACAGGGCAAGCTGGAGCTGATGCCGGGCTGCACCCTGGAGCAGAGCCTGGAGAGCAGCCTCACGGGGGTCCTCAACGGCCTGAGAGAGAGCGCGGGGTCGGCCTGCATGCAGGTGCCGCCCTCAAAACCTATACCCCGAACCCTGGCCTTGCGCCGGCATGCGCCTACGCGAGCGTGCGTGAGAGGGCTGCGCCCCTGATGCATCTCTCCCACATGGGGGCATTGCGCATACGTGTGTGGGGGGCATTTCCCCCTATAATGCGCAGCTGCGAGCCCTCCACAACGCCTGGCTTACAGCCTGCACCTGGCACTTGGCTACCTCCCTGGTGTGCGACGCGCCCTCCGCTCGGCCGCCCCTCCCCCCCTTCCCCTCATGCCGCCCCTCATGGGTTGCCCCGCGCCTCCTTCCCGCGCTCCCCTCACGGCCCCAGACGCTGGTGCCCACCAACAGCCCCCTCATCATGAGCCAGTGCGGCAGCAAGGGCAGCCCCATCAACATCGCGCAGATGGTGGCGTGCGTGGGCCAGCAGGTGTGCGGGCGCGCACCCAGGCCGGCCGCAGCGGTTACAGGCTTGTAGTGTAGTGCGGCAGGGCCGCGGCTTGGCACCTCACGCCGTCGGTGGCGCGAGGCACCTCACGCTCGCGCGTACAATCGCCAAGTATCGCGCGAAGCTAGGCCTACCCCTGGAAGCCCCACCACATCCCCCAACTCCTTTGCGCCCTGCAGTCTGTGGGCGGCAAGCGCTGCTTTGACGGCTTCAAGAGCCGCACCCTCCCCCACTTCCCGCGCGGCGACAAGTCCTCCTACGCCAAGGGCTTTGTGGAGGCGTCGTTCTTTGACGGGCTGGCGCCCAGCGAGTTCTTCTTCCACACTATGGCTGGGAGGGAGGGGCTGGTGGACACGGCCGTCAAGACGGCGGAGACGGGTGGGGGCGGGGGCGCGCGCGTGTGTGTGTGTGGGGAGGGGTGTGGGTGTGGGTGTGTATGTGATTCTGCAGGCATGTCGTTGTGTGCATGTTTGTTCTTGCGTGCGGATGTGTGTGTGTGTGTTTGTGTTTGTGTGTGTGTGTGTGGTGTATTGTGCTCATGACATGAGGAGGTCTACAACCTGTGCGTGCATGTGTCTCTGCTGCCAAGGCCGCGTCGCGCCTTAGCAGTGTGTTGTTGGTCTGTCTCGCAAGATGAATCTCGCTGTTGATCAAACCCTAGACACACAAGCTGACACCACACGGTAAGCTGTCGCGCAACATTACCTCTGCCCCCCAACACACATACACACACGTACACACGCGCGCGCACACATCCACACACACACACACACACGAGAGTGTGCGCAAGCATCTGCATGCACGCACACTCACTCAAACCCCGCACCTCCCACGACAACTCCCACACCAGGCTACATGTCGCGGCGGCTGATGAAGGCCCTGGAGGACCTTTACGGTAGGAAGTGGGGGGTGGCGGGCACTGGGGCGCTGGGGCCCGCTCGGGGTTGAAGGGCTTCAAACGCAAAGCGGTCGATGGGGCTGGCCGAGCGCGGGGCCCCCAGACGGGTGAGGGCCGCGCTGCTGCAGGGCGCCGCTTCAACCGGCAGGCCTCTGGTCGAATTTCAGGCTGGCAACCGTGGGGTTTGGCAGGACCGCAGCCAGGACCACCGCCCGACCCCTACTCCCCCAACGATTCAGTTCGGCTAGGGCTGACATCATAGAGTCCTTTGATACAGTCTCCACATGCACCCTGCTGCTCAACACTCGGCTCCCCAAGCTCGAGTCTCTACTG